TGGGAGACTTTCTATTGGCAGACAGGCATCTTAAACAATAAAAGCAATTCTTCTGATTGCTACTTGATTGGAGTGAGCTTCTTTTTTTACAGCAGGACAATGACCCAGAGCTCCAAACTATGGAAAAGCTATTCCTAAAAGAAGCAGTGAGCTGGCAATCTGCGTGTAATAGAGTGGCCAGAACAGTCAAAGGATCTTAACTCTTTTGAGCTGTTGTGGGAACAGGTTGATTTGTGCAGTGCAAACATTTATCTAACTCGTGGGAGGAAATTCAGGAAGCATGGGGTGAAATTTCTCCAGATTAATTAACAGCTTGAATACAAAAGGTGTACAAACCTGTGATTACTGCCAATGGATAACTCTTTATACAAAAGGAGAAGTCTGAAGGACAAAATTATTAATTCAAGTACAAATCAGTATTTTAAAACTTTATTTCTAAAGTTGCCAATACACCACACAGCTGAGCTCCAGTTTTTAGTTAACTCATAAGAAAAAGGTAGATTTCACATGGAACTATTCCTTTAAACTGGTCTTGCTGATACTTTATAATAACAAACACAAAAACTCAGGCTGGATATCCATGCAGGTCCACAGAGGGCTTGTGTCAGCTTCAGAGTGACAGCGGCAGCTTGTTTAATATCTAGGTCAAAGTCAGCACTAGGATGCTGTCAAGAGCCCGTCACATTTTCATGATAGCCATGCATAACACATCCCATTTCAATCACTACTACCAGATTAGACCAGGAGGAAAAGAGGCCTTTTGTTTTGTTCTTTGTTAATCTTTCTGTTGAAACACTGATTTACAGTCACTAATCACAACCATTTGTAGGGCACACTTTGCTGCTTGTGTGTATGTGTATATCAGTTTAGGCTGACTGTGGCTGAATACTGACTGCTGGCCAAAAAAAAACAGCTTAGTCACTGATGCAGCAGGGAAATCTGCAAAATATGAAACCGACTAAGGTTGAATGCAAGAAATGTGACACAGCCAGTGAGGATATGACAGTTTTCTTAGTGCTAGATAAAATGCAATGTACATTGTAAAAACGTATTGTGGGCACACGTGTAAAAGTGAACCTTACTTCCTTATTTTCATGGCTTCTTCATTGTCGTGGCGGAAGAAATCATAGGACTTATAAGCTCTGACAGCCTCTCTGCGGTATACGCCCAAGTTAAACACTGAAAAATGAACAAAGGACGTTATAAATCTGCCCTGGCTGTGCTGTCGCCTCTCATTTTGGATACACTTGGATATACTTTTGTGAACAACTAAAACCACAAGAATTTAAGTGGCTAAATTTAGCTTCTCTTTGTGGGATCATTTTAGAATAGTTACATTTAAATATTTATTATGCACGCACAATGTCAGTGGGGGGAGGTTTAAAAATTCAGCCTTTGCATTTAAACATTTTGCTTTCATTCTAATGTCACTGCTACTCGTTTTTGTGACATATATAATGCATGCCTAAGTGCTGGAGAAGAGATAACACTGATGCTGTTTTTCATGATCTTTAGAGTTGCTTTCCCACATTAACTAATTAACTATCCTGGTTTAACTTCTACAAAGAAGTAAAAAGAAATACAAAGAAGGATTGAAAGCATATGAAAGTTCAATAAAACACACTATGAATTTTTTTAAATTTGCAGATGGCATTAACTGAAACATAATGAGAAAGAAATGTTATGGTCTACCTTTGGTTGGGACTCCTATCCAATTGAGGTAACGTGTGAGTTTCTTGGAGATGTAGGTCTTTCCTCTAGCGGGCAATCCGATCATCACGATCACCGTTGGAGAGTTTGTCATGTAAGAAGCCCATGCTGTGCAGGAAAGAGATGCAAAGAACTGAATGTCAAAGTTAAATGCAAATCATATCTGACTCATAACCAGCATTACAATAGAGAAAAACATATTTTAAACAGGCATGCCAGTGCTGCACAAACTCCTGAACAGCCAGTCTTATATAACTAGGTCATGTGTATACACAAAAAATAAAAAAGTCTCTTTGGGCACAAATATCTATGGAGTGGGTTCAGAGGTGTCATCCGAAGAAATTAGAAGGAGAAACATCCTGGGAGAGAGAAGTAATTTTCTTAAGAATAGCAGAAACCACTGAAGGTTTCAAAGTATTTTTATCACTGGTCATGATTTATATTCTTTTTCCTTTTTTTGCCAATCCAGAGAAATTCATTCCCAGGTAGGTTGGAGACTAAATGAAGCAGCTTTCCTCTCACTGAGGTGATTGTGATTTGGTCAGAGCAACAAGACAAGGTTTTATATTACAAGTGCACCTGCACACTCTATAAGCAGCGATGCATGAATTAAAACCTACTAAAATCTAATTGGCGTTTACTTACAGCATTTTTTCTCGTTGAATCTGGGGTCTGTTTTCTTGGCTTCTGTGGAGTTTGCAGAGCCATTGTCTCTCTGAGTGCTTGACATATTGGAATCTTCTTTAAGCGCAATTCAGATCAGCTCTCTCTCTCCCTCAGAGGCACATAGTCCAAGTTGGTCTGCAACATGCATGCAAAGGATTAGCCTCAGACAGAAGAGAACCAGAGCTTTGTATGCAAGCTTTTCCTATCGATGTCTTATGGCTTAATGTATCGACTGCAGAGCAAGCAGCAGGGGAGCTGTGAATGAAGACGAGAAGTACTGCCACATCATCTGTGCACAGGAAAAATACTTGGCTTAAAAGCACTATATTTACAAAGCCGCACATGAGCGAATCATGCGGTGGTTTGCTCTCTCACTCCCTGGGGTGACCGAGTTCACTCTAACATAATTTATACCACAATCCACACAAGACGAACATACAAGAGTCAGTGTTTTACCTGGTAAGGAGGTAAATACGAAGAGACCTGCTTTCGGGACCGCCTCTGAAAGACGCAGTCATGCACCGCAGGACCGGGGATCTCGTGATCTACCGGACACAGAGTTTGCGTGCGCCGGTTCGGTTGGAGGAGCCAGTCTGGTCGGCCTGTCCTTGGTGCTGAAATGCCTCCTCAGCCGGCTGGTATCGTTCCAAGCTGGAGGTGCGTGTCGACGTTCCTCTACCGTAACGTCAAGAATAGATCCACGTCAGCCTACGCCAAAGCACACACCCCCTAACCACAAGGGCTCTGCAGAGGATCAGGCGCAAGAGCAAGAAAAGAAAAAGCGCTACACAAAGACTGAAGGGTGAAAATCCTTTTATTTTTTCACCATAAAGCGAAGATTTATTTATTTATTTATTTATTTTTTACAATAAGCACAACTAGCTTCTTTGCATAGTTATTTTATTCAGCATTACATACCTCATTATAAAATGCAGATAGTGGTCAAAAGACAATGGTTTAACATAACAATTGCTAAAACCCCCAAATAAATAAAACCAACCCAGAATCACAGTGTTCCCTTAAATAATACAAAAGTTTGAAATAAAAGTTCAGTCCTATGGAAAAAAAAATTACACATCTGGCCATCTATTTTGATTTACTGGCACGCTTACTTTTACTATATTTAAAAGAAATAACAGTGAATAAGACTAAGCAACCTTTACACATTATCTGATCATTCACATGCCCACATATATGTACAAGAAACATGTGTAAATCTGTCACAGGAGCCTGCAAAGAGCTCAGACCTCAGCTTGCTGCTATTTTTAACCATTTAGAGAACATTCAGAAATCAGAGGTGAGGCACTGAGTTTGTGGCAACGCTGATGGAAAATGTGATGCCAGGTCAGCTGAGCAGCCAGCGCTGTGGCGTGTGAGAGACTTTCAGAGCATCTCAGGCTTGTGAAGGACTGATGAAGCTCAGTTGGAAGGCACCGATAACAGAGTTTAGTGTCAGTAGGTTTGCACACTTTTCGGCGATGAGAAGATGTCTGCAGTCTCCAGTGTCTGACTGTTAGTGGTTTGTAGTTTTCACCTTTAAGGCTTGATTTTCCACAGCTGGAAATTAAGCAGAGACGAAACAAAACAATTAAAAAGAAAAGGTTAATAATCTTACTGTGCAAAATAATCCATTTAAAAACAGATGTGAAGAGAAAGCATTTAAAAGGCATTTAAAATCACAGTCTCCAATTGTCTCAATCATGGACTGTGGAACCCGTAGCCAGCACATGCAAAATAAGGAGTTAAGACTTGTGAGATTTAAAGTGGAGCCAAACCATGTAGTATTTTAAAAGCAATCAATAAATCTGAATGAAAGAGACGCCAGTGTCATCCTGCCAGGACTGGAGTGATGTGTTCACTCAAATGAGTGCTTGTATTTTGCACCAGCTCATTTAACCATGTATACAAGGAGTTGTAAAAATTGTGGCAGAGAATGAGGGTGTGTAGGATGTTTAATGTTGTTATTGGTGGGCACAGGCCTGACCTCAGCAATGATTATAATCTATAGCTAGCAAAACTGAAGTAGACTCTTCACATGCTGGTTAAACTTATTAAACTACCAGTTCAATACTTTGGGAAACTCCATATTTACCCCAGCCCGCCCTTGCTGCTGCCTCATTGGTGGATACATATACTCTATGTAGATGACTGGCTGTTTAAATTTTTGTAACATTCTTTTTCTACGTAATCACAAAATTAAGTGGAATGGTGGATAAGTATACTGGACTTATTTAAAGTGCTATATGCAGTATACAATTCTTCATGACCCTGATGAAGGCCACAGACTGAAACGAGGTGACTTTACTACAAGTGTTGCTAGAGCTTCGGCCTCTTTAGACTCTTATTGTGCCAGAAACCTTTTATTCTGTTTTCAAAGAAGCCCTATTTACTCTGTATGTATTTATGTATATACTCTGTATGTATCATGTTTCTGCATTAAGAATAGAGCCAGACACGTGAGGATAATAGCTTTGTTTAGCTTGGAATTGCATTGCATTGCATTGCATTGCATAAAGACAATGTCACACTTTTCTACAGTTGTAAAGAGAACACATTAACATAAGGTTTCTCAATTGCGTAATTCACATATAAACAGGAATTTACAGTAGTTTTTGCACATCATATGCTCTAGCTACATACTAATCAAGTAAGTATTAAGTGTAGTAAAGATTTGTTAATACTGCTGTCTTCAAGCAACCACATAAATATATATTTCTCACGTGGTTAAGCTACTCATGGGAGTTTGTCACTGTGCAGCTTTAGTTCATGTTTTTCCTCTTATCATTCACATGCTAAATATTTTGAAATCTCAAAATGCATATTTCCAGCTTGTCTGCCAGATGGCTTCAACCAAAGCAAGGTTTCCAGGTCAACTCTGTAGGCTACTAACAGCTCCAACAGCTAGAGGGCAACATGCAGCTGTACTAGAACTAAATGTACAGCCTGTACTTTTAGTTGCTCCTCTGGTGATTTATTATAGCAAATATTTATAGTTGTAGTCATTATATTCAATTTTAAGCACAGACACTATTTAAATGGCTCAAATTAGAGTAGTTGAGGCTTATATGAGCAACAACAACCAGGTTGTACTGATAAAGTTTTCTTTTTTTTCTTGAGCGATAAAAACAAAACAAAACATGGAGCCCAGAGTGATCAAGGATGTGCATCTTAAATCATCTATTTTTCCGGTCTTTTTAGGCAAATCTCAACATTTCTCATTATAACTTTACTCACTCTGATGTTGAAGCCAAGCAGGTCACTGACTACGGCAGACACAGCAGAGAGAATGACAACTTTGGTGATGTTATAGATCAGAGGGTTCACTGTGAGACCCAGCAGTCTGAAAGGAGTATCGAGCTCCTGGAAGATGTAAGGAGGAAGAAAATGTTATCTAAGATTTATGACATGGGTACCCATACCCTGAGGCTAAAAATGATCAAAGCCAGAATTTATTAAGGATGAAAAACCACTGACAAAGGGGACTCCACTTGGCCTTCATGAGAAATATAACAATTACATATTGCAATACAATCAAATTTATAGCATATCCTTCAGCACAAAGTTATTAGGGCTGTCCCAAGGAGATCAGTAGTGAGGAAGAAAGAGTGATTAAGCTGATGGATGTTAGAGAGTACCAACAGAGACATGACAGGGACTGAGGAAAGAAAAAAGAAAAAGAAAGAAAAATCCCCAGCTCACTGCAAAGTTATAATATTATAATTGCATTCTCTACACGGACTGCATAACAACCTTGACTGGGAACTGCATTTAGTTTCAGTGAAAATTTGGGCTTACCTTCATTAGTTTTGTAGCTAGCTTCAAAACATTATTCACAATACTGAGTTCTTCTTTCTTATTGGGCTTTTTCTCCATCCTGAGATACAAATTGATCTGGAAACAAAAACAGTTTTACACCGTGTTAATGTTACAGTGAAGGCCAAATAATGTATTTAAACCTACATTAAATCAATGGACTAATCAGCCAGAGAAATAGCCTGGAATCTTGTGTCTTTTCCAGCCTGGGGGGGAGCTTTACCTGCTCAGTGAGCAGCACAGAAGAGTTACTATACTTGAAGTTGGTCTCTGAACCCAGCGTGGCGAGCCTTAACAGAAAGAGGACGAGAGAGGCGCACCACACCATGAGCTCCCAGTTCATTAGAGACTCTAGGAATGTCTTGTGGCTTTGCAGAAGCTGAAAAAAGAAAGCAACACTGCTTACATTTATTGACCCCGGCTTTGTTGTGAAAATTGGATTTCTTTGCACCTAACAGAGCATATAAACTACTTTCCATCTTAGCTTCATGGCTTATCTTCAGTAGGGTAATATGATTAAATGGTTGCATGTTTTGAGGCAGTCTCCTTGCTATTTGATCTCCGTGCTAGAATCGCAGTATTTGCACAAAATGATCAAATCAAAATCACAAATGTTCTCCCATATGACTGACCTGAGCACAAATGATGAATGAAATGGAAAGTGCTAAAAGAAAAATAGTGGAGACAATGACGTCAACGGAGCGCTGCGGACCTCGTCTCTGCGAAGCACAAACAAATCAATGTCGCACGGTTAAAAAGACAAGTCTACACCGAGCAAAATGTTGAAATAAATTCAGATTGGGAGTGTTTTGGCAGGAAAATACAAACCCGGAGAAAAGATCGAAGCGACAACCACATCTTTATATTCTGAACTTTCTTCAGCCTGAAATGGGGAATCTCAGATTTCTTGGCTTTGCGAGCTGAAGTTAGGTGGCTAAAGAACTTGGCAAATAAAAGTCTCTGTTGGGCAGACATAAAAAAAAATACTGTGATGCACTGCAGCAGAGCTAAAACTGATCACATTTAGGATGCAGCACTGAAAACATCTTCTAGTAAAAACACAACTTATATATATAAATGATGACAAGGTAGCAGAGAGACAGAATGGCTCAAACTATTAAGAGCACATTAAGCATAAACAATTTGTCCAGTCAACAGTAAAAAAACACAAACAAACAACAAAAAACCTAAAAATCTTTCACATTTTGAGAACCTGGGACAGTACATTTTTGTGATGTGCATTTCCTGAATCACCATTCACCTGTTTGTATGTTCTCTCAGCCACGCACATCATGAAGAAGAACAGCCCCGTGAGGCAGATTCTTTGCACTGTCGTGATGAAGAAAAAGGCATGAGCTTGTGTATTTAACGGCCCCACTGCTATTTCTATCAGCTCTGACAGAGGCAGGGAGCTGAGGCCCGGCATGTCCAGCCGCTGAGCCAAGCGGAAGGCAAAGGGCAGCAGTGCTAGAGTGACAGTGATGAGCCCGCCAAGAACGAGATAGCCCATTCCCTGCTCTACTAACTTCACCTGGTAATAACAAACACAAGAAGGGAGGCGTTTAAGACCAGAGACATGTGCTGGAATATTTTTATGCAATGAAAGCTACAGTCTTTCTTGGACTCTCTTGACAACATATTTTACACATTTACCTCAGACTTTGAATATTTCTTCCATTATCTGTGTTTGTCAGTTTGCCACATTTGACAGCTAGATGTTCAAAAGAGTCAGAATAACAAATTCTGGCACGGTAATGAGGTAAAATTTGGCTCTTAATTTTTGCCTGGCACTTTTTTTTTTGCTCTATCCGTAGAATTTGAAATTATTTCAAGGTGGTATTTCGCCACTAAAGATCTGACCATAACTGTAATTATTAGGAAATTGTTTGCTTACAAATGTGCATTATGCTGGACTGGCTGTTAATAATATAAAGAAGAAGGTGTGTACCCGTGTGAGGATGATCCCACTGATCTCCAGTACTGACATTTCTGCTTTCTTACACTCGCCCTGCTCCCAAATGATGGCACTGACACGATCCTTGGATGGGTGACATGCCTGCAGCCAAGACAGCTGGTTCTGAAACGAAACACCACAGACAACATCCTGTTCACAATTCAAGCGTGTTTAGTGTGTTATCTAATCGGCAACAGGCCTTTGAAGTTGAAGCTTAACCACATGTCAAAACTTCCAAGACTTTTGAGACTGCTCATAATTTTATAAAACAACATATGTAGTCACAATGTCCAGAATAATGTGTAGTATTTAAGATGTGTTTGCATTTACTCCAGTGATTGCTTGTTGTAGGCTTTCATCCTCGTCATCGCTTGTCAGAGTGTCGTTTTGTGGGAGGCTCATGCTGGCGTTGCACCTCCCACTATCGTCACTGTCACTGCTCCCTGTGGAGGGAGGGCCTTGGAGAAGCTCCTCCCACATTGTGTCATCGGTGTCGGAGGCGGGACGAGAGCCCACGCTCGGCCTGAGACGCTCCACCTCACGGGGCTTCACCTTGATAAAGGCTTCACTCCCGTCCTGAGCAAATTAAACCAGAGGCAGTGTTCTGTATGCGACGTTGAAGTTACTTCACATCAAATCTCTAAAACAAAACTAGACAAATTACTATTAAATAAACTGCTAATTCAGTGCCATCTCTGAAGCAAAGCCTAGAATTGTAATTTGCATCTTCCACATCAGGCTTTATTAATGTATGTGCTTCTTAAATTCCCCAGAAGCTTGCTGTACATTAAAAATCCATTAAGCAACTTTGATGGTTTACAGTGAAGTTTACCTGAGGCCTCGGTGTAATTACGGGGTCAGACTTTTGGTTTCTTTTCCGAATAGACGGTAGTGATGCAGGAGCTGTAGTGGTGTTTCTTTCACTGTGAAATGGTATTTGTGTTACTTCCAGCGGTTGTATTCCTTCCTCTTCCTCACTGGAGAGCTCATCAGAATCCCTAAATCCCGACTTTCCTTTGTTCTGTAAAACATCATCACAAATATATATATACTAGTTTGGCACTTATACATCCATCCCTCCATCCATCCATAACCTATCCACCACATCTGACTGACATTTTTTGACTCTAAAGATCGAGTAGAGATGAGAAACTGTACCATTCTCTCCTCTTTTCTGTATAAATGCTGGTTTTCTTCAAACTGCCAGCAGCCCAGCAGCTCCGCCTCCCCACTGTTGTTCTTTTCTTCAGATTTCTTCAACCCTCTGTTCTTTCTTGGCCTAAAGGAGAGAAAGTCAAAAGACAAGTCAAAGGTAAATGATGGTAATTACCGTCTTTTGACATTTTTATTATTTGTATTAGTATATTAAATAATGACATTATAATTAGTTTATATTTAACATGCACAACAAAAGGGATTTTCATGTGAGATCTGTTTTCATGTACAGCATAACCTGGGATGTGAGAGCCACATCACATATTGTACATGAAATACGAAGAAAAGCAGTTAATACAGTAACTCTCTCAAAAGCAAATGAAAGAAAATGTAGCAAATGATCAGTGTCATGAGAAGTCATACTGAATATTACAGTTTTTTATATGGAGATGTTGTTCATAATAGTTATGTAACATTAAATAAGTTAACAATGATAAGGCAAATCTCACGTGACAATCTCTGAGGGACTTGACTTCATGGTACAGGTGCATGTTTAGGAGTAGTGTTTCGGGTCTATCTGCATGTTTAACATGGAACTTTATGCATGAGCCACAAGGAGTGTGAGTGTGTTTCTGTGTTAGTCTAACCACTAAATGCATGCAGCGCCTAACAATGAGGAAACTACCTCCTTCTGCGCGTGGGGCTGGTGGTATTGCTGGCAGCTGGACTGCCTGAGGGCCACCGGCTGGACTCAGTCGACACAATCTGGCAGTGCACGGTACCCAGCAGCAGCATCAGACACATGGGTCCAAACACCTCGCTGGCAGTCGCCCTAGGGACCTCGAAGTACAGCAGCACCGCTGCCACTGAGGGGAGCAAAACATTTTGCAACAGCAAACAAAACAGTCTCTTAGGGGAGACATTATAACAGAATTCATGCTTACTAATGAGGTCTCTTCTGTGCTCCTCAGGTGTGATGGGTAACAAGTTTAGTGTTGCATATAAATGAATGTAAGCTGTGTTGAATAGCTGGCGAATTGAGCCTGCAGCAATAGATCTAACTTCATGAACCACAAACAGAGCATATCGAGACCTGTGTACTTTCTTCAATTAAATATACGTAATCAAACAACCTAAACAAAACCAACAAAATCAAACTTATTTGGAAAGGAGTGTGCATGTGTCTGGGTGCTTGCAGGCAACAATTTGAAGACACGGTCACAGTAAAGTACTCCTGATGTTTCCACCAATTGCTTTCAGGGAGTTAAGGTGGACTGGAATTAATCAGTGAGTGGTTGTGAGAGAGGGCATGCTGCTTTTTTGGCAGTTGTTAGTGCATTTCTGCAGCCAAGATTTTGAACTGTTGGCCAAGGGGGCGACAATCCAAATGGCACAACTGAAGAGTTTTTATGTGTCATGTGGCAGCTGCTGTGTGACGGTAAGGCTCCACAACATTTAAACCAGAGCTATCATGCGTTTCTATTATCAGTATTAGAAGCAGAATCGGAATACTTGAATCCCACAGTTGGTCACGGTTGTTCCAAGACAGTGAGATCAGTAACTAACTAAACTAAATCAAATAATATATTAAAAAGTTATAAAGTATAACAAAATAGTCTATTCTTGCATAGATCTGCAACTAACACATATTTCAGTAATTGACATAAAGCAATTTGCCCTTGGGAAATTATTAACGTTTTTTCTGATTCTGTGTATTTTGATTAAAGAAATAAACACAAAGACGCATTCAGCCATTCGGTTTGGTTAGCTCTTCCAGCACACGAATGCTGACTTATGCTGTTAAAGAAGAGTTTTCTATTCTTCACTGAAACTCTTCTCTAAGCAGATACAAAGTTATTTATCCAGTAAATTAAAAACTGTTCTGATGCATGGAACCTGGTCTAGGTTGAATGTCTACACTGATGTTTGAGTTGAGGTCAGTCTTGTTTTAAGGCTATAGTTGCAAGATGAGTGGTGGTGAGCTAACCTTGCATAATGTAGAGCATGAGGATACATGAGGAGATGGACATGGAGGTCACCTGGATCCACCACCGGAAGAAGAACGGGAACAGCAGCACTCTGACCAGACCCTTTCGAGTCAGCGCTGTCCATGGACTCTCTGGTTTGGCTTTGCTAAATGTAGATCCTGATGGGATGAAAGGGGTGGTCTGTTAAAACTACATTTACTTTAAGTGATGGAGCAAGGTTGAAGTAAAGAAGAGATTAAACAGAGGCAAATAAAGCACTGCACATACATATATACAATGCATAGTTTATCTGCTTTGTGCATGAATTGACAAGAAACCTGGAGAAATGTCTCAAACACATTTCAAAACAATTAATGCTCCTTATTCACACTCACCTCTTACTAAATCAACATCAATAAGGTCTGGCTTGATGTGCCCAGTCTTCTTTGGTTTGCTGTCCAAACCCTATATAAATAGTAAGGGCTTCTTACTCAACTTAGAGGTCAAATGCACTAAAAATACACACACATTTATTCCATTAAAGAGAAAAATGAGTATCTTACATTTAGATCAGCTTTCTCAAGAGATTTCTCCCAGATTTGTTGATCATATGCCCCGATCTATAACAAAATATAATTCTTCTAATTATCTTAATTCAAAGAAAACACAAGAGGTGATAATAACAACTAAATGATCAAACAAAACCATGTCCAGTTAAATCTATGGAAAGCTTGTGTGATATAACCACACTTTTGTTTTTATTTAAATCGATTTTTGTAAGGAGTAAGGGAACAAAGAGGTAAAGGAAATGATTCAATAAATTGTGAGATATAAGGATGTAAATCAGAGCATATGGATTCAAGATTGAATGACTATGAATTAAATTACTACAATTGTAATAACAGCCACTTCAAAATAAATCAGATTAATAGTAACAGTAATTAGGTAGATGTCTATGGTTTAGCAGAGTTTTTAATGTACTAAGTATTAAACAAGTAAGTAAAGAACCACAAACAAGGCTCATTACATATCTTACGTTATATTACTAGACTTTACTAGTAAAATATATAGTATAGGTTTGTAACAAGTGATGAGTTTCTAAGACTTTCCTAAATGACACTAACTGTACTGGATGTGTTGCGCTTACCTTTTCTTGGTACCAGGCTATTGTTGCCATTGTTATTAGACAGGGGAACCGGTCAACTCGGATCAGGTCATTTCACCGTAAAGAGAGGAGGAGTGTGGAGAAATCCAGATGTGTTCCCTAATCAGATATGGTGCACGGACACAATGCTGAAGCTTGGAAAAAGCAGAACTTAAACGAGAGGCCCGCAAGGGAAAGCAGAGATAAAATGAACGCGTTTTGGTGTGAAACAAGCACCTGTGTATACACAGGTGCGCTACGGGTTAGCTAAAAGTAGCCAAAGTAATTATCTGAAATTATTTTTTACCTGGAATTAAACAGCACGGCAGCTTTGGTACAAACTGGAAGAAATCCTTTCTGATCATTACAAACTGATCGTTAACACTTTCTTGTCATCAGTTTCGGGTCGCTGCACGCTGCAGCGTCTTTTTGTGCAACTGAGCTAACTACTAGCGCCGATTACAGCTTACTTTACCTCTTCCGGTAAGTTTCGACGCGGATAATTTCTGAAAATACCACATTTTAACAGCTCTTCTGCTTTCACACATACGTCTACTTGTTTATTTAAGCTATTTTACACTTTTTAGCCCATTCTTCCTCTTCCCTTTTCCTGGGTTTGTTGTTTTTCTTTAGTTGGATCACAGTATTCCCTGAGGTTTGTCTGTCAGATGGCCATTTCAGGTTATTCAAAACAGAAACCCCTTTCAAAGACGTATGCAATTGTCAACATTAAGTAATAAGCATGAACTAAAATTATAGACAAAAACTATGCTACATATTTGTCAGTATACGTACTTCAGTGATGAAACGCATACATCTTCAGCGGGCAAGTGCTACCTGAAAGGCTAATCCGTGGGAACAGAATACCCATTTCTCCATAACATTTCGGCCACTGACAGCGCAGCTGCTGTAGGAACTGTAGTATCATTTACGCTCACGTTTAAGCTTGTCCCTTATATAATACCATAGCCGTACTTAAATGCAAAAATGGTCCCTCTGAATTATTTTTACATATTAATTTTACTTAATCTTCTAAGCCCTACAAGAAACTTTAAAAAAATAAATTTCCAAGACATGTTGTAAATCCCAGTATTCCTGGTTTTAGGGTGTAGACTCCCTGAAAATTCCTGAAAGAATTTCTCTGTGTAAAAATGCTTCTAGCTCAACTTTTAATTTCTTTTGTATCAAACCAATGATGAGGATAAGGAGGCGAGGAGGAAGAGGGGATTTCTGGCATATATGACTAAAGAGAATGTTCTCTCTCAATTAGCACAAACTATATTACAGGTACATGTGATTGTAATTTACATTTAATTAGAATTCAGATGAAAATATTAAGAATACATACAGCTGTACAACACTACTCTCTAGTTCTACTGTTTAAATAATAGCTAAATAAGAGTATCCTGAAAATGATAAGGTCTGATAGAACAACTCTGCTGTCTAGCAGGTGAATCAGCAGGCTGTTAAGATAGAGACAGAGTCATTTGTCATTCGAATCTTGAGTGTCCGCTGATGGCTGCTCATGCTCAGCTGTGCACACGATCTTTGCTTTGACCTTTTTGTTTGAAGAAATGATAAAGTAGGGGCTGAGAGAGGCATAACATGAAGAGAAAAACACCCTCATATCAGCCACCACCGGTGACACTTTTTCCACCGTCAGCATGTAGATCCAGATCACATTTTCAATCCCAAAGAAGACCACATAGAGAACTACCAGGGTTAGCACTGCTTTGGCTGCTCTGGTCTCTGCCCCTCCACCCTGAGAGCGATGAATCCCTTTCATTTGGTGGCTGTGGCGGTGGAGCAGCAGCAGGATGTAACAGCTGGAGCCCACCATCAGGGCAACAAATGCAAAATCCCTCCCAGAGATAGCCACCCCGTTAATCACATAGGACAAGTTGTCTCTGAAGTCTACAAGGCAGAAGCCCAGGTTTAGGGTAAAGGCAGAGACAGTGCCATTTCGTGGAGCCATGGAGAATAATGGAGTTGATATGCATATGGCCATATTGAAGAGCCACAGCCCTGCAAAGGTGGGAATAACCAGGGATGGAAGTGAAGGCTTCAGCCTGGACAAGTATGGCCCAGTAGGGGTGATGGTCACTGCCTGAAACACACTTAGCATGCAGGTGATGCAGACTGACAAAGCCCGGCCAATGCGGTAAGCATAGATCACCACCTTACAGCCCGGATCATTCAATAGGGCCTTCAGCCCGAACACCGTCATTGACGGGGGGACACTGCGGGTCAGCAGCAGCAACAGGTTGGTAAAGGCCAGGTGGCACAGAATCATGTCCACAGGAAGGAGCTTCGGTCCAGTGCAAACGATATGTGTGTACGCCAAAAGTACCACAGTGTTTCCTAAAACGCCCATACCTGTTTGCAAGAGGAAGGAGACACCTTTGATGGTCACACACAGATCCATGCCACCAAGACCTGCAGCTGTCGTGATTAACAAAGCAGAAAACCAAAACTGTGATAAATACTATACACATAACCTTAATCTTTCAAGATGACTACACAAGTTTTGATAAAACCAGATAACACCAATTGTGTCACCTGTAGTGAAAATGATGCTCACCTGAAGTTGAAGAGAAAAAGTAAAGTATTTAGTGCTTTAAATGTTGGAGAGCCTTTGTAAGTTCAATATATAATCCTAGATGCCCCTAAGGATCGGCCAAGATATTAGTGCAACAAACTAAATATGACTCATGGTCTCAGAGGACAAGACCCACAAAGGAGACAGCGTCCCCATGGATGTTGATACACTTTTTTGGCTTGCTGTATTGACCACTACATGGCTTATAACAGATCCATGATTAACATGTTCTCAGTGTAATGGGGTAAAGATATCCTTTTTAAAAATACTGCACAAAAAACATAATAATAGTAGTGATGGCAGAATTTTGTATGCGGATTGTTTTCTAGCTCAATCTGAGTTTTAACTTACGATCATATTAATCAGAGTTAGAATACTTTATTAATCCCTTAGGAAATTATAAGGTTACTTTGAAATAATGTTAAGAATGCCGAAGAGTCATTTCAACGGGCACAACTTTGGAACGTGGAAATTTGCTTTCTTTCAAAGATTCAAGAGAAGGTCAGGAGATTTTAGTTGTTGGTTGCAGTCTGGGAAAATCAGTTCCTTATGTAAATTCTTAAGTGTTATTTTCCTGCACTTTGAAATATCATAAAGCTATTTCCCTGCAGAGTTTTAAGAAATACGGTTGATTGACCACGTGGAGACAGCCGTGAGTGGTTACTGTTTACGCAAAAGCAGCCTGATGATGCTTTGAATGAGCCATCAAGAGGCCTTTACACGCACAGCTGGTGCTTCAGCGTGCGCTCCTTTTCTCCATCATGTCCTGGGAGCATGTTAAAGACACAGAGAAGCAAAACAATTAGCCATATAACAATGCATGTCTGCACTAATTGGGGGCATAGGGACAACTAGACATTATTCATTTAGCACCGACAACGGAAGTTTGTTATAAGTATCCCCGTTTTCTAACCAGCTAACCTGTAAATGGCAAATGGACTCTAACCTGGTCAGCTGCACAAGTTTATTTTTGTGCTAAAACGGTGTTGTTTGAGAAGCCTGCTTTTCCCTGGGGGTGGAGGTGGGATCGGGGGGGAGCCTTGGAATAGATAATCACTAGATGTGTTATTTGCTTCCCTGTGTGTTTTTGTAACATGTTTAAATGTTCTGAGAGCTAATTAAAATGGCAAGTTCAAGCATGTCCTTCTCAGGGGATTGCAACAGTATGCTTCATTACGAGTTAAAGATTTCTTTTTTTCTCTTGACAGGAGATATGTTCTCGCTGATGTAATCTGTTTTTAGCATTGCTCCTATTCTCCTATTATAATTTTGTTGTTTGTCAGAACAACAGGTGAATATGAGTGTGTGTGTCAAAAAACTATTCTTGTTATATAATATTATATTCCCTTGAAGCTGCAGGCAGCAGAGATTTATTATTGTCCATGCTGTACATACATATTCTATATGTGTAAAAAATGCTTTCAGCTCAAGTGCACAGTTGTGTAGTGGCTTCTAGAAAAGCCCACACAATTGGAACAATCTGGACGGCATGCAAATATCATGCATACCCTGTAATGATGAAATTTATGTTACTAGGACACAAACAGACCCTTGCAGAGCCTCGCGTATCGTCATGTGAAACTGATAAAAACCCATTGCGGTTTATGTTAATGCATTTTTAAAAAATCTGGTCCATTCTTAGATGTTCAGCTCAGTTTAGTTAAGAGAAATATCACTTTACACTCTTTTGTTCCTTTGTATGTGCTGATGAGGGCAAAATCTCTGAACTGGCAGAGGGGTTATTCGTTGTATTTCTCACTGCACCTTTTAATCTTTCCAATAGAAAGAAAAATGCACTTTCAGAAGATTTTGACTTAACAGCCTCACAAGGAGATGGGGACAGCTGACCTCCCAGCATTTTACATTTCATTTGTCTTCATCATCTAAAACTCATTCATTCTAAATTCTTCGCGAGCTCACATTTGATTTTTTTTCTATACATAAACATAGCTGATTTTCATGTAATGTTCAATCAAAAACATAACATGACTGGCTTTTAATTTAATTCCTATTTTCATAAAAGCTGGACTAACACAGAGAGGCACAGAACGTCCGCACTAAATGATCCATATCCAGACTCATTAAAAACGTCAACATATAAATATAGAGGGAAACATACCAGACTAGATGAAAATCCTGGAAAACAAGAAATATGAAAAAATTAAACTGTAATTAACAAATCTAAATATTTTGTACATTTGCATGTTCAGTTTTACCCAGTTGGTTTTCAATGACAGAGAAAAAGTATTTCAATTAACAAAACAGAACAAGAATTTTCAAGGAGAAATTGTATCAAACCACCATTAGTGCCAACACATACATTATATTCATAGTGTTCAGAATAAATATTTAATCAGGGTTTCCTGAATGTGGCCAGAATATTTCAAGTATAATTTTCGAAGTAGGACGTGTCTTGTGTTACAGGAATTAAGCTTAATGTTCTCTAGCAGTTCCCCGATGTTAAATCATATTGTCCTTACAGCATCCTCACAGTTTAGGTTAAATTCTATTAAGAGTTTTTATTGCTGTGGATGAATTACACAATCATAAATCATAAATCGGATCACGCTCCAAATGAAAATTGCAGGCGATCTACCATGAAGAGTGAGTCGAATGTCCTTTGTTTCCTCTTCCTCCACTGGAGGACACTGTGGTGTTGATATGCGTCTAACCAACACAGGGAGGGTTTCTGATTTGCAGTGGCTTTAAAAAAAGATTGAAGATATGAAAAATGCAAAAGTATTGTGGAGGGTTTTACACAGAGATCTGCATATAGGTTCAGTAATTAGAAAATTGATTTAATTCTCTCTACTCAGTGAAACAGTGGCATGGAGGAATGATTGTAATCTCTTTTTTTTGACAATAAACATGGGACTGATAGATATTGTGCTTTCATTAATGTCATATCTCTCATCCACTGGTAAGCTCTTTGTACGAGGACACACACAGCTTCCACTGTCTTATCCTGTCTGAAACCCAATACAGGTACAGAAGCAGTCATCTGAATTGATCTCAAGTAATTGGAGGCTGAGGGAAGAGAAGTCAATGGACCATGCAAAACAGATCTTACCTGTCTGCCAGTATAAGAACACAAACACCCTGACTACATCAGGAGAGAAGGATCACAGCGTGACAGGCACAAGGTCCACTTTAGACCTCTTTAGCTTCGACGGTTCTCAGGTAGGAGTTTAACCTTCGAAACGATTTTTTCCTGAAACCATTTAAATGCTAGGCACCATTTGACATTTAGAAGTGCATGACAAATAACATATTGATAATGTGATTTTATTGATTTTCAACTTCCTGTAGGAATGGCATCAGAAGTGTTTGTCCGTGGGATGCTCTTTCTCTTCCTGACCGTTGTGGGAATTCCAGGTAATGCCACTGTAATTGTGGCATTCCTCCTCTTGCTGTACCAGGAGAAGCGACTTTTAGCAGCTGATTCTATTCTCCTGCACCTGGCCTGTGTCAACCTGTTGGTGGTGGTTGTACGTGCTTTGACGGAGACCCTGGCCTCCTTCCGTCTGGCCGACATCTTTGGAGACACAGGCTGTAAATCAGTGATCTTTATCTATAGAGCAACACGTGGCCTCTCAATCTGGCTCACTTTCCTGCTGAGTACCTATCAATGCTTGAGCATTGCCCCTCCAGGATCAAGCTGGGCTTCTGTTCGTGCCTTGTTAGGTCACTATTTGGCCTTTGTGTTCCTCTTCCTTTGGGTTCTCAATGCCTGCATGACGACAGCAGCCATACTGTTTTCTTTCAGTACCAAGAATGAAACTAGCCCGATAGACAATGGCATTAATGTACAATTCTGCTATTTGAACTTTCCTTCAAAGCTGTCCAGAGATGCCAACGGGGCAATCCAGGTTGGCAGGGATGTTGTGCCCATGGCCCTCATGACACTCGCAAGTCTGATTATCCTGGTATTCCTTTACAAGCACAGCCAGCAGGTGAAGGGACTCCGCAGTAGTGGTGGCGGTGGTGCTGGAAATAGTGGAGCTGAACAACGAGCTGCCAAAGCTGTGGTGGCACTTGTGACCTTGTATGTTGTCTTCTATGGGGCAGATAATGGGCTTTGGGTGTACACCCTCACTGTGAAGAAAACCATGAGTTCCTCACTGATCTCTGACCTGCGTTTATTCTTTGGCTCGCTATATGCAGCACTAAGCCCTCTGGTTATAATTGCATCAAACAGGAAGGTGAACAGCAGGCTGGGGTGTGTAGCACATGAGAAGTCTGCTGTGGAGAAAATCAAAAATCTTTCTAGCATGTGAGGCCTGCTGGGATCAGTTGATCACTGGGCTGAGATTAACCTCAGACAGAATTTTTGAAACTCTGGGTCATGCATCGGTTATTCTGTCTTTGAAATATACTGAGCACACTATTTTCCACAGTTTCCTGATTTTGCTTAAAATTTGGGAATTGCACTGTCTTTTTCCCCCATGTAATGGCTTTGGTAGTTCTTAATTCACAACATGATGCCCTTTTCTTTGTTAAAAAGACCTTTCAGATGTGTTTTAATTCAAATACCTAATAGTTCCTTATTTATTATGTCACTATCAATCAGAACAACCCTGTTACTGAGTACAAGTCTGTACAGATCTCTGCTGATCTGGCACTATGTTCTTTTGTTAGTTTATATTCCCTCTATATTAATTGGGAGGAAGAATTATAGTTGGTTGACATGGGCTCAATGTAGCTGCCTATTTAGCTATAATTAAGGCTTTGAATGTAATCTGGGAAGTGTCCTGTGCTAATGAGCCAGGCTAATTGTCCCACAGAGAATTGTTTAAAACCTTATGGAAAAGACTATATTCTTTGGAGGGAAAAAGCGATGTTCATTAATCAACAATGAGTTACTCCGTTCCGTGCACATGTTATATTGTATGTCTAGGCTTCTTGGGTACAGTTATAAGACTTTAAGGACACAAAAATACATCTTGGCAAAAGCTCAGATGAGCTTGCTGTGAAAGTGGCAATGTGGGAGTTTAGGAGTCATTATGTAATTGCTATGTCTCGGAGAAGTAAGTGTAAAGAGAGAGAGAGAGACAGGGTGAGGACACAGCAACCTCTGTGAGTGACAGTCAAAAAGACATAAAGTGGGGCTGCCAGCACTCTGTGATCCTGCAATAACTCTAAAGTGCAATCAGTGCAGCGGTATTCAACTACTGTCGCATTGCAGGTATGAATGAGGAGGACAAGTCCTCTTTCAGTGCTTGTGCAGAACTGTTGCTTTCACCATCACATTGCCTTCAAAGGGCATTAAAGGCCATATCTTTTATCTAAAAAACAAAAAAACAAAGCCCTGTTAAAATTTATTGTAAAAGTTGCAACCATTAAAACCCTTGATAATGTGATTATATGACTTAAGCTTCTCTGAGGATGAAAAATTCCATGTGTCTTACTCTTCAAACCACTGAAATCTGATTAGCACTTTACACAGACTCCGGTGGAATGAAGGATAGAATACATGGATGGTTTCACAAGTGAAGTGAGCACGCTGAAGCCTCCCTTCAGGTGGTGAATCACTGGGGACGTTGACACCGATTTCAGTGATGTCATTCTTTCTGTTTCTGTCAGGGAAGAAGAGGTTGATTAATTAAAGAGAACAAATACATGAAAGACAGGTTCCATTGGAGTGTATGCTCAAGTTTCCTTCTGTACAGGTTGTGTGAAGGGCGTGCCAGGCGAGGCCTCTCCCTGCACAAGTAAGGACCTGTTTTCGATGTTTTCCATCCTTTTGCAGTCTTTTCAGCTTGATGAATGCAGGGTGCTGATTAACACGTACAGTCCAAACCCACACAATTGTAACCATCTATTACAGCATCTCACAGCCTTCAGCTCAAGCATTTACTCCTAACATTTAATTATTCACTTTACAAAAAAACCTGCCTGTCTATGCACACTTTTCAGTCTGAAGTCTCATTTCACCTGTATGACAAGGCAATGCACTTGCCACCTAGAAAACACAACAAGGCACAACTAATTGATATTTACCCCCCCCCACCCAAAAAAAAAAAAAAAAAAAAAAAAAA